AGTGAAGGTATGGAGAGGTATGGAGAGTGAAGGTATGGAGAGGTATGGAGAGTGAAGGTATGGAGAGGTATGGAGAGTGAAGGTATGGAGAGGTATGGAGAGTGAAGGTATGGAGAGGTATGGAGAGTGGAAGGTATGGAGAGGTATGGAGAGGTGATGAAGGTATGGAGAGGTATGGAGAGTGAAGGTTATGGGAGGTAGGAGAGTGAAGGTCTGGAGAGGTATGGAGTGAAGTATGGAGAGGTTATGGAGAGTGAAGGTATGGAGAGGTATGGAGAGTGAAGGTATGGAGAGGTATGGAGAGTGAAGGTATGGAGAGGTATGGAGAGTGAAGGTCTGGAGAGTTAGGGGTCTGGTGGACATAGCAGTATTTTGTTTGTTTCTAATAAATGTGTTATAAATAGGGCTTGATTTGCCAGTAGTCGGTTCTCCAGCGGGGGAGGGGGGGGATCCCCCTGTGTGATAAAGCTTCCTGTGGCTGGCTGAGATTCCCTGGCTGGAGGCTGAGGTTGAGCTGGCTGTGGACTGGAGCAGCTCTGCTCTGCTCTGCTCTCTGCTCTGCTCTCTGCTCTGTGACCCGCAGCGCACCGCTCTGCACACCTGTGGACAGAATGAATAGAGGGGGGTTGTGTGAACTGTCTGCTCCAGACTGACTGGCGCCACCAACACAACACAGGGCATGGCTTCATCAACAAGCCAAAACAAACGGACCGGCTCAGACAACTACCCCAGTTCTCTGGCTGCTGCCTGGCAAACTGGCTTCCAGTATAACACACACACAGCCTGCCTGTCTGCCAGCCTGCCAGCCTGCCTGCCTGCCTGCCTGCCTGTCTGCCTGCCTGCCTGCCTGTCTGCCTGTCTGCCTGTCTGCCTGTCTGCCTGCCTGCCTGCCTGTCTGCCTGCCTGCCTGTCTGCCTGTCTGCCTGTCTGCCTGCCTGCCTGTCTGCCTGTCTGCCTGCCTGCCTGTCTGCCTGCCTGTCTGCCTGCCTGTCTGCCTGTCTGCCTGTCTGCCTGCCTGCCTGCCTGCCTGTCTGCCTGTCTGCCTGCCTGCCTGCCTGCCTGTCTGCCTGCCTGCCTGTCTGCCTGTCTGCCTGTCTGCCTGTCTGCCTGTCTGCCTGCCTGTCTGCCTGTCTGCCTGCCTGCCTGTCTGCCTGCCTGCCTGCCTGTCTGCCTGTCTGCCTGTCTGCCTGTCTGCCTGTCTGCCTGTCTGCCTGTCTGCCTGGGTCTCAGAGCCTTACAGCTAACCTAACCAGGCTCTGATCCTCATTTACAGGCAGATTACCTTTTAACCCTCTGTTTGGAACATTGCTACACAAGAGGACAGTTATTGTGCAACACACAGCTGGCTCCTGGATGTTGGCAATAATCAGGTTCCTCAATTACACTCTGATGTCTACTTCTACTGTAAATCATACAGGTGTATAGATGCAACACCAACAACAATACTACTACTACTACTCATAATAATAATCAACAACAATAATAATCATATCAATAAGCAAATCACATTTTATTTGTCACATGCGCCCGAATACAACAGGTGAAATGCACTTACAAGCCCTTAACCAACAATGCAGTTTATAGAAAATAGAGTTAAGAAAATATTTACTAGATAAACTAAAGCAATAAAAAGTAACACAATAAAATAACAATAACGAGGCTATATACAGGGGGTACCGGTACAGAGTCAATGTGAAATAACAGTAGGGAGGCTATATACAGGGGGGTACCGGTACCGAGTCAATGTGAAATAACAGTAGGGAGGCTATATACAGGGGGTACCGGTACAGAGTCAATGGGAAATAACAGTAGGGAGGCTATATACAGGGGGGTACCGGTACTGAGTCAATGTGCGGGGGGTACAGGTTAGTGGAGGTCATTGAGGTAATTTGTACATGTAGGTAGAGTTATTAAAGTGACTATGCATCGATAATAAACATAATAATCTGGGTGGCCATTTGATTAATAATTATAATAATTATAATAATTATTATAATAATAATACTCATAATTATAATAATCATATTATTAATAATGATAATAATAATAATAATAATAATAATAATAATAATAATAATAATAATACTCATAATTATAATAATCATATTAATAATAATAATCCACATGAATTGGTCTATTTAATGGAAGAGAACAGACACATTGTGAAGCAGAATAATGAGCTACTACTCACCATTGGCCATTTCTCAGCGACACAAAACGGAGTCCTCCTTTTTGCCTGTTGACATCCTCTGAAATAAGGGAAAAGCGAATTAATACCACCTTACAGTCTATGAGTCAGGTAAGGTGACACAAATCACGAGCTATGCAGAGAATGGACCAGGTGTGCGCGTTGACTCCATGACAGACCCTTCACCACGACACAACTTATCCTCTGATCTGAGAGCATCACAGCAGGACTACAGACTCCTTCACCATGACACAACTTATCCTCTGATCTGAGAGCATCACAGCAGGACTACAGACTCCTTCACCTCAAGCACAGGGGCCCTGTCTTTCACATGCACCAACCACTGCCACTAGAAATGATGCGTTATGCCTTTCAATAAAATAAAGTCTCTGCCTTGTCAATATGGTGTTTCAATAAAATGTGTCTCTGCCAATATGCTGTTTTAATAAAATGTGTCTCTGCCAATATGCTGTTTTAATAAAATGTGTCTCTGCCAATATGCTGTTTTAATAAAATGTGTCTCTGCCAATATGCTGTTTTAATAAAATGTGTCTCTGCCAATATGATGTTTTAATAAAATGTGTCTCTGCCAATATGGAGTTTCAATAAAATGTGTCTCTGCCAATATGGAGTTTTCCACAAGAACATGAGGCCCTTTGTTATTATTCAATACAGGAATCTCCTGACTTGAAAAGGCCAAGGCCACTGATACACACCACCCATGCTATTTACAGTCTTCTGGACCATCCCACTGGTCACACACCGGTTGAATCAACGTTGTATCCACGTCATTTAATTGTTGAACCAACGTGGAATAGACGTTGAATTGACGTCTGTGCCAACGCTTCTTACCTGGTGGTCTATGTTGAGAACGGTTAGAGGTGTCCGATGAGAGGCGGGGGGTGGCGGGCATGTCCCGGTCACGGTCCCGGTCCCCGTCTGTTTCAGGAGAGAAGGGTGCGTCTCTAATGCGAGCTGCAGGTCCAAGATGTAATCTATGACATGCTGAAGGATCTCCACTTTGCTGACTTTCTTATGCTGAGGTATTGTGGGTACGAGGCGCTTGAGGCGACTGTAACAGTGGTTCATATCGTCCTGCAGACACAGCTGCTCTTCTTCCTCCGCCCTACACCGGGCGATGTTCAGGCTGTGATCCGAGAGATAGTGTAAAGAAAGCTCGTTGCTGCTGCTTGAGGTATCCTTCTGGGGGCGGACGGGAGCAGTAGCCTTCATTTTGTTAATAACGCACTGTACGGCGGGTAGAGAAAACAATCACTGGTACCAAATACTGGAGATGATGTGTAGGCGATGAAGATGGGGATCACCGACGGAAAGACAAACTGCCAAAAGAAAACGGTCGCCAAAAAAATTCAAAAGTGTAGATTCTATTCTGTCAACATCCCGTGGACCAGTCGTTTCTACTTCACTAAGCACGATGTGAAGAATGAATAGATTCCGTACATTTATACGGGAAGGGGAGGCGCCAGCGTGCGGCTGTTTGACAGTTCCGCGGAGAAACTGGTCAATCACGAGCCGCCCGGTGCCCATGATGGAATAATACCAGCCTATAAAGATGCCTGCCTCTGCGCTGCCGTGGGTGACGCATGTCATAGTGTGTGTGTGTGTGTGTGTGTGGTCAATATATAAAATCAAATCAGTAAGGAGGCCGGAGAATATAAAATACGAAAATGATGTGTAAACTGATCATCCTTCACTTTATATATCTTGTAAATGAAATCAAAGTTTGTTTGTCAGACACTGGATACAACAGGGTGTAAAAGTTGAAAAGCTTCTAGCCAGTTACCGCTCAACAGTGAAATATAAAAGAAGTACAAAAGTAAATATCATAACAAACACAATAAGGTGATTGTTATAAAGGTTATTAATTAGCCTAAATGAAATAGAATATCAAAGAAATAGTCTACAGCACTCGGCTTTTATGCATAAATTAGCATGAACGACAGACTTCTGGCCTGCTGCGTATTGCTGCAGGACTATGAATCTGATCTACTAGAGTTCAAGTTGGTTAATAATCACTAACTGGTCTTAATTAACTAGTTCTAACTAACAGGTCCATTTAGCGTCCAACTAGCCACCACTAGCTGTTAGTTCATATGCCTTGATACCGTGATATATAGACCTAAAGGCCGAGACAATAAGAAGACACAGTGTCAGAATAAATTCAACCACACCTTCGTTTCATCACAAAACCAGAGAGCAATATCTGTCTAGTGAATTCCATAAAGCATATTGCATGTACAGTGACACATAGTTACATGTTAATGTTTCCGACATTTTCGGACCACTAAATAACTATTGATTTAGAACCACAGAGAGTTACCGGAAGTCTCAAAGAAAACAGGAGCAGACTCCACTACTTCAACTTCCATTTCAACTTTAACATCATCAAATCACCTCTGCTTAGTCTAATACAGTGACAACTAAAACATACCAGAAACAATTTAGTCCAATCAACGTAAGTTAAATATGATGTGGCTGTCCATGGTTCTGATTTCTGTGTGTGTGTGTGTGTGTGTGTGTGTGTGTGTGTGTGCAAGTAGAAAAACATGTTGACTCACCCTCCTTGTAGATAAATACCAACACCATCCTCCTCTCTTCCATGTTGAGGAAACGGTCTATGACTCTGTCATACAGAACACACTTTTATTTGTTGTTGTCCTAGGCTACCTGGCTAAAATGCTAGCTAGCTAGCTAGCCTAACTTCCATTCATGGACAACGTTAGCTAGTTAACATTAGCCTTCTACACTACCAGTCAAAAGTTTGGACACACCTACTCATTCAAGGGTTTTTCTTTATTTTTTACTATTTTCTACATTGTAGAATAGTACTGAAGACATCAAAACTATGAAATAACACATATGGAATCATGTAGTAACCAAAAAAGTGTTAAACAAATCAAAATAGATGTTATATTTGAGATTCTTCAAAGTTGCCTTGATGACAGTTTTTCTGTCAATGACGTATGCTCTCAATGAGATTTGATAGGAGTGAAGCCAAATCCAAGCTGGCTTCCCTTGACACTTTTTTTTTGGTGCGCCAGGACCATTCACGGTTGAACTCGTTCAGTTTTCGCTCAACGCTGATTGGCACATTTTTTAAATACTTTTTTTTTTTTTGTCAGGGCTAGCCAGATGCTCGCTGGCTTCCCTTGCCTTCAATGCTACGGGCGGCAACAGGTCGAGTCTCGAGTCAAGTCCAAGTCGTGCATTCTAAGAGCAAGTCAAGTCAAGTGACACGTTTTTTCAAGTCAAGTGTCAAGTCAAGTAAAAAAAATAGATATACAGTTCAACTACAAGTCTGTTTATTGAGGACAGCCATTTTCATTATTTTGTCTACATTTTGATGATAATAACACATTTGAACAACAAATTCCAAATTAATAAAGTAAATTGTCAATTTCAAGCAATGTTGACATACCAAAAGACTAGTAGTTGTTGTTTGACGCCCCACTGCTGGTGAGCTTGCAAAGTAAACGTTAATGTTATTGATCACCAAACAATTTCTGGAGCTGTATATTCATTTATGGCAATCCTCTCTCTCTACAATTTGACGTTTGTTCTGCACCGGATCCTAGAGCTGCACATCAGCAAGCTCAGTGGTCCTCAAACCTTTTGACCTCAGCTGCGACCCCCCAAAAAAAGGAGTGGTTCAAAGCTTGCGACCACAACGCACGCACATACACGCGCGCACAGGGCGAACACGCGTGCACAATGTAGCCTGTACAGCCATAAACGGTGGATGCATTTTCAAAAAACCCCAGGTACAGAAATAAACTGTGTTTTACACCTGCATTTTGAGCTGAAAGTCATTCATGTTAGCAGTCAATATAAACTAGGGATATCATGTCACATTGTCACTTCTCTGGATTCCAGAACAAGCAGCATCACACTGCCTACCTGTAGCAGTGGAGCAGGATCTGTCTGTAGATTTTCTCTTCCTCACAAATATGGTCATTAATTCTCCAGAATGTTCCGTCTTCATCCCATAAGTATTGAAGGTAGTGTGACATCACAGCTATCTTTAGACCAGTGGCGGTCGGTGCCGTTTAAGATTAGGGAGGACAAAGATTTTTTTGGGATGAGCATGGCCTTATTTCTATAACAGGATATTGGATGACTGTCATTCATATTCCATTCATCCAGCTCAATGTAACATCGATAGGTTTACGCTATTACATGATACTTGAATTTGCCCTATACCCATTATGAGGTTGCTACAACCTAGCCTATTAATTAAAGTTTATAACGTAGGTGCACAGGTCGAGAGAAAAATGTGAGTAATCAAGGTGACAGACAGTGATGCATTCAATACCGCCTTTCACACTCTTGCCTGGATGTAGCTGATTTAGGGTGTAATCATTAGTCCAAACAGTTGCAAAACGGAAACGAGAGTTTCTATTGGACAAATTCAGTTAGGTCCGTCCCTGTTTCGTTCCATTTAACAAATGCTTTGCAACAGAATCGGCAGAATGAATACACCCCTGATCACACACAGTTCACTTTCATAGCAGCCACATACAGCATCATCACATTGCTCGTTGTATGATTCCTTCTCGCATCTTCGCGCTCTCCTCTCACCTTTTCCCTTCACTTTTTGACTTCAGTGCACAACAAAACAGCTGTCTGTGACCAGGGGAAAAAACCTCTCCAAGCCAAACCTTCATATCATAACCGCTAACCGCTACACAGCCTACATCGTTGTCACCATATTAACTAATGTCATAGTCAACATAGCTACTAGAACTGATGGGTTAGTAAACCCACAATCCAATCCATGTGTACAATCACGCAGTTCAGTGACAGCACAGTGACAGTACAATGACAGTACAGTGACAGCACAGTGACAGCACAGCGACAGCACAGTGACAGTTCAGTGACAGCACAGTGACAGCACAGTGACAGCACAGTGACAGCATAGTGACAGCACAGTGACAGCACAGTGACAGTTCAGTGACAATACAGTGACAGCACAGTGACAGTTCAGTGACAGCACAGCGACAGCACAGTGACAGCACAGTGACAGCACAGCGACAGCACAGTGACAGTTCAGTGACAGCACAGTGACAGCACAGTGACAGCACAATGACAGTACAGTGTACAGCAAACAGTTTAGCAGTTACCCTGGCGGGCCCCAGACGCTAACCTTGACTTGGAGAGTTGGAGTGTTAGATAGCCTTAGCCAGCTAGCTAACAGTAATCACATTTATCTCTGTTTGAGTCAGGTAGTTGAGTAGGCTAAATTAGCTGCAAGTAAGTGAAAGTGAAAGTTAAGAAAATACAACAAATATAGCTCTCTTCCCATCTGCTACTTCTCCTTAAGTTTTGAAGAAATGAATTTGTTCAAAACTGTTCAACTATTGTCTTTCTCTCTCTTTGAATCAACTACTCACTGCAGTGCTAGCTTGCTGTACTAGATTCATTCTCTGATCGTTTGATTGGATGGACAACATGTCAGTTCATGCTGCAAGAGCTCTGATAGGTTGGAGGACATCCTCTGAAAGTCATCATAATTACTGTGTATGTCTATGGAAGGAGGTGAGAACCATGAGCCTCCTAGTTTTTGTATTGAAGTCAATGTACCCGGAGGAGGATGGAAACTAGCTGTCCTCCGGCTACACCATGGTGCTACCCTACAGTGCGGTTGAGGCTACTGTAGACCTTCATTGCAAAACAGTCTGTTTTAATCAGTTATTTGGTGACGTGAATATATTTAATATAGTTTTATCTAAAAAGGCTTCTTTTTTTTTTCTGTTTCGCAATTATACTTTTTTTGAAAATCCACTGAGGAGGATGATCCTCCCCTTCCTCCACTGCTCTAGCCATAATATAACCAGTACCACCCCTGAGGCATATCATTATAACCCACCCAAACTAGGCCTATCTGAAATATGAACATGATCAATCAAATCACCATGTAGCAGATGAGTCCGTAGTATATTGCTAAACTGTACTTTAGAAGGATGATATTAACGTAGATAGGCTACTCTGTTTTTGCCAGGCAAAACCAGAGAAAATTAAACAAGTGCTTTCTGGTCACTAATCTGGAAATGTGCGCCTACTTTTGCACGCCAATGCTGATGACTGGTCATTGGACAACAGTCAAGATGCGCAACTTTTTGGTTCTGAAGCACAGATGAGATATTTTTGAAAATAATTTGGTGCGTTGCCGTAGGAATATGGTAGTGACCAGATCGAATAAGCAAAGGTACAAATATAAAATACAAATGGTGGGCTATATTTAGCTATATGTAGACTATTAAAATACTGACTCCCGAGTGGCGCAGTGGTCTAAGGCACTGCATCGCAGTGCTAGCTGTGCCACTAGAGATCCTGGTTCGAGTCCAGGCTCTGTCGAAGCCGGCCGCAACTGGGAGACCCATGGCGGCGCACAATTGGTCCAGCGTCGTTCAAGGTAGGGGAGGGTTTGGCCGGCAGGGATGTGGGTTTGTTTCCCACGGGGGGCCAGTATGACTGTAAGTCGCTCTGGATAAGAGTGTCTGCTAAATGACTAAAATGTATGAAAAATAGATATATTTTCCATTCAGTTTAACACTCGCGATCCCCCAAAACCTTCTCACTGCGCTAGCTCACCAGACCTGTGTTGATTGACAGTTTGCTGGTTCAATCAGAGGGCTGAGTATGCCTTTTCACCAGCTAATCTGTTTTTTGCAAGTACGATACTGTCTCTGGCTGTGCCACAAAATGAGTGACAAAACATTACAACACAGATAATTTCAAGTCATCAGTCTCAAATCAAAGTTGAGAGTCCCAAGTCTTGAGGCTCCAAATCCAAGTCGAGTCTCAAGTAATAAAATGTGTGACTGGAGATTCAAGTCAGACTTGTGACTGGAGTCCACACCTCTGCTAGGGGCAAAAGTGAGCGCTATTACCATCAAGAAGGCGTGGGTTTTGCTAGGATGTTGTGGGCGTAATCCCATGACTCTGGATCAGAAGGCCGTAGCGATCCCAGTTGTAGGTCTACACACTGTTTATTTATTTGTTGCATTAATGATGCACTATGCAGAAACCGCTCCGGCATTTCCTGGTTGCTTAAATTGTAAAAGTTATTAAGTAGTTAGCCTAATGTCAGTTTATGTGGCAGAACAAGCAAGTATACACTCTTAGAAAAAAAGGTGCTATCTAGAACCTAAAAGGGTTCACCGGCTGTCCCCATAGGAGAACCCTTTGAAGAACCCTGTTTGGGTTCCATGTAGAACCCTCTGGCGAAAGGGTTCTACATGGAACCCACAAGGATTCTACCTGGAACCAAAAGGGTTCTACCTGGAACCAAAAAGGGTTCTCCTATGGGGACAGCTGAAAAATCTTTTTTTCTGAGAGTTCTGCAGTGAGACTGTGAGATCTTGTTGTCTACTTCTGCAGTGAGACTGTGAGATCTTGTTGCCTATTTCTGCAGTGAGACTGTGAGATCTTGTTGCCTACTTCTGCAGTGAGACTGTGAGATCTTGTTGCCTACTTCTGCAGTGAGACTGTGAGATCTTGTTGCCACTCTTGCTGACAGCTAAAGTTTACTGTATGCTTCCCAGTCGAAACAGTTCACTCATTTAACAGTGCCATTAAACCCCTACAACTCATCCAGAACGCCGCAGCCCGTCTGTTGTTCAACCTTCCCAAGTTCTCTCACGTCACCCCGCTCCTCCGCACACTCCACTGGCTACCAGTTGAAGCTCGCATCTGCTACAAGACCATGGTGCTTGCCTACGGAGCTGTGAGGGGAACGGCACCTCCGTACCTTCAGGCTATCATAAGGTGAATGCACCAATTTGTAAGTCTTTCTGGATAAGAGCGTCTGCTAAATGACGAAAATGTAAATTTATTACGATGACATTTTGTGATGTTTTTGTTAGTTTTGGCTGTTTTTTTTTGGCTGTTCATTCAAACAAAAATGTTTCTTTAGGGAAGTCGAAGTTTGGTAGCTGAAGTCTACACCCCTTCGTCTGTGATTGGTCAACAGTACTACTCCTAGTAGGAACTATGGACGGGATTCTTCAATTAAGTGTTTGTTGTCTTTCAACGAGAGACGACTAGTTAACCCTAACCCTCCCAGCTCAGCTCTGCTCCCTAACCCTAACCCTAACTCTCTCACCTCAGCTCTGCTCCCTAACCCTAACCCTAACCCTAACCCTAACCCTAACCCTCCCAGCTCAGCTCTGCTCCCTAACCCGAACCCTCCCAGCTCAGCTCTGCTCCCTAACCCTAACCCTAACCCTCCCAGCTCAGCTCTGCTCCCTAACCCGAACCCTCCCAGCTCAGCTCTGCTCCCTAACCCGAACCCTCCCAGCTCAGCTCTGCTCCCTAACCCTAACCCTAACCCTCCCAGCTCAGCTCTGCTCCCTAACCCTAACCATAACCCTAACCCTAACCCTAACACTAACCCTAACCATAACCCTAACCCTAACCCTAACCCTAACCCTAACACTAACCCTAACCCTAACCCTAACCCTAACCCTAACCCTAACCCTAACCCTAACCCGAACCCTCCCAGCTCAGCTCTGCTCCCTAACCCTAACCCTCCCAGCTCAGCTCTGCTCCCTAACCCTAACCCTAACCCTAACCCTAACCCTAACCATAACCCTAACCCTAACCCTAACCCTCCCAGCTCAGCTCTGCTCCCTAACCCTAACCCACCCAGTTCAGCTCTGCTCCCTAACCCTAACCCTAACCCTAACCCTCCCAGCTCAGCTCTGCTCCCTAACCCTAACCCACCCAGCTCAGCTCCTCTCGTCTTCCTTGGAACTGAAAAGGTCCTGACTTTCAACAGAAGACCCAGGAGACTTTCTAGGAAGAAGCTCCACTGGTGAGGGTGAATACCAGTATGGCTACCATGGTGCCCCAGTACCTCTGCTACTATGTGGGAAGTTTAGTATTGGGTGACTTGGGGTGAGGAGGGTGCTACCCTGTGATGTGGAGAGGACAGGACACAGGAGGGTGTTACCCTGTGATATGGAGAGGACGCAGGAGGGTGTTACCCTGTGATATGGAGAGGACGCAGGAGGGTGTTACCCTGTGATGTGTAGAGGACAGGACACAGGAGGGTGTTACCCTGTGATGTGTAGAGGACAGGACACAAGAGGGTGCTACCCTGTGATGTGTAGAGGACAGGACACAGGAGGGTGTTACCCTGTGATGTGTAGAAGACAAATCAAATCAAATTGTATTGGTCACATACACATATTTAGCAGATGTTATTGCGGGTGTAGTGAAATGCTTGTATTCCTAGCTCCAACAGTAAAGTTGTATCTAATAATTCACAACAATACACACATCTAAAAGTAAAATAATGGAATTAAGAAATATATAAATATTAGGATGAGCAATGTCAGAGTGGCATAGACAAAAATACAGTAGAATAGAATACAGTATGTACATATGAGATGAGTAAAGCAGTATGTAAACATTATTAAAATGACTAGTGTTCCATTATTAAAGTGGCCAGTGCATTCGGAAAGTATTCAGACCCCTTGACTTTCTCCACATTTTGTTACGTTACAGCCTTATTCTAAAATTGATTAAATTGTTTTTTCCCCTCATCAATCTACACACAATACCCCATAATGATAAAGCAAAAACTGTTTTTTAGAAATTTTGCAAATGTATTAAAAATAAAACATGGAAATATCACATTTACATAAGTATTCAGACCCTTTACTCAGTACTTTGTTGAAGCACCTTTTGCAGCGATTACGAGTCTTCTTGGGTATGACGCTACAAGCTTGGCACATCTGTATTTGGGGAGTTTCTCCCATTCTTCTCTGCAGATCCTCTCAAGCTCTGTCAGGTTGGATGGGGAGCATCGCTGCACAGCTATTTTCAGGTCTCTCCAGAGATGTTCGATCGGGTTCAAGTCCGGGCTCTGGCTGGGCCACTCAAGGACATTCAGAGACTTGGCTGTGTGCTTAGGCTGTGTGCTTAGGGTCGTTGTCCTGTTGGAAGGTGAACCTTCGCCCCAGTCTGAGGTCTTGAGCGCTCTGGAGCAGGTTTTCATCAAGGAAAATATGAATATGCTCATGTGGCAGATTTTGTTGGTCAATGCAGTAAACAGAGAAACCATGACTTTGTTGGTCAATGCAGTACACAGAGAAACCATGACTTTGTTGGTCAATGCAGTACACAGAGAAACCATGACTTTGTTGGTCAATGCAGTAAACAGAGAAACCATGACTTTGTTGGTCAATGCAGTAAACAGAGAAACCATGACTTTGTTGGTCAATGCAGTAAACAGAGAAACCATGACTTTGTTGGTCAATGCAGTAAACAGAGAAACCATGACTTTGTTGGTCAATGCAGTAAACAGAGAAACCATGACTTTGTTGGTCAATGCAGTACACAGAGAAACCATGACTTTGCATTCTCTCTGGTTCCTTTAGCTGGTCCATCTGTTTTCACTTCTGCAATTCCAGTCCTGTACTTCCCTGTTACAGCCTGCTGACTGAGACTGGAGACCTGAGCATGGAAACTATATAGAAACTACCTCTGTTACTGATGCCGCATCTTAATTTGACCCAGTTTCTTACAGCGGGAAAATAATCCTGCAGCAACAGGAAATGTGAATTATTATGTGGATTATAATTAATGGACATTCTTTGTAGGGGTTGATACATTTTTCATTAGTACAAATCAAGTCTGACATTTTAAGTTGGAAATTACAAGCTTTAAAATCGTTTTTAACCCCCTAGAGTCGATTGACACACCGGTGCGTCGATTTAAGTTACAAAACATAACATTTCCCCATAAAAATCCATAATTTTAAAATAGAGGTGTTTGTTTTTTCTGCATTGGATGAGTCTCAATCCACCGCATCCTCCGATGTCGCACTTCCTCATCTGAGGTCAAAGGTGACAGAGATACAGCGGTGTTTGTCTGACCATCAGTCGTCCCGAAAATCGGTCTTCTGACGTAAACGTCTGTAGCGTCCGAACGGTTTGACCTAGAATCTATTGTGACCCCTCTATGGAAAGGGGAGACTGACCCCTCTATGGAAAGGGGAGACTGACCCCTCTATGGAAAGGGGAGACTGACCCCTCTATGGAAAGGGGAGACTGACCCCTCTATGGAAAGGGGAGACTGACCCCTCTATGGGAAGGGGAGACTGACCCCTCTATGGAAAGGGGAGACTGACCCCTCTATGGAAAGGGGAGACTGACCCCTCTATGGGAAGGGGAGACTGACCCCTCTATGGAAAGGGGAGAGAAATGTATGTTTAACACACGGCCAAGGCAACAAAGGAGTGGCTCAAGAAGAAGCACATTAAGGTCCTGGAGTGGCCTAGCCAGTCTCCAGACCTTAATCCCATAGAAAATCAGTGGAGGGAGCTGAAGGTTCGAGTTGCCAAACGTCAGCCTCAAAACCTTAATGACTTGGAGAAGATCTGCAAAGAGGAGTGGGACAAAATCCCTCCTGAGATGTGTGCAAACCTGGTGGCCAACTACAAGAAACGTCTGACCTCTGTGATTTCCAACAAGGGTTTTGCCACCAAGTACTAAGTCATGTTTTGCAGAGGGGTCAAATACTTATTTCCCTCATTAAAATGCAAATTAATTTATAACATTTTTGACATGCGTTTTTCTTGATTTTTTTGTTGTTATTCTGTCTCTCACTGTTCAAATAAACCTACCATTAAAATTATAGACTGATCATTTCTTTGTCAGTGGGCAAACGTACAAAATCAGCAGGGGATCAAATACTTTTTTCCCCTCACTGTATATCCAAAGAAATGGCAACATAGAAACGAAGGTAAACAAATGAAAAGTTTGCTGTCCTTTCAGCTGCTTGAGGTGACTGTGCGTTAGCTTGCCTTTAGTTGGCTAGCTAGCTAGCAGAGGAGAAGTAACGTTAGCCTAGCTAACTATCCTCCATAACTATATTCTTGACTTGACAATCAGCTGGTTTTTACCTATTTAATACTTGTTTCCAAATGATTTATTGAAGTTAATGTCTCTCGTCATCATCGAACCCTAGATAGCTACACGCCAGTGATTTGTTTAGCATAAGAACGTGGAATGAATAGAATGAACGACTGGATAAATAAATCCCCCAAAAATGAAAAGCGGCAATCAGCAGTTGAAACAATAACAAAGCGTTTTCCCCACCCCTGTTTCAGTAAAAAGCTGAGGGATGGGGCTGGAGAAATGTAACCACTCTCAAATTCATAACCAGAGCTATGGATGCGAGGACTGACCATGATATGTTTTAAGGCTGTACAGTGTTTGTTTACATTTACTTTATTTACAAACATTGGAGTAAAACAAGTTCTGATGGGGTGTGACAGTCAAACTAAGCTCACGAGGCATTTATAAGTTGCATTCTTCAAGAAGAATGGGTACATATCATTCATTTATAAGTCCAAAAATGAATGTAGCAACTACTGATTGCCCCTTTAATGACCAGCCTGTTTGATTTTGCAACTTCAGAACCTCAGAATGAACAACTGGCTTTTGCCCGGACTATATCTATATGCACTGCTCAAAAAAATTAAGGGAACACTTAAACAACACAATGTAACTCCAAGTCAATCACACTTCTGTGAAATCAAACTGTCCACTTAGGAAGCAACAGTGATTGACAATACATTTCACATGCTGTTGTGCAAATGGAATAGACAACAGGTGGAAATTATAGGCAATTAGCAAGACACCCCCAATAAAGGACTGGTTTTGCAGGTGGTGACCACAGACCACTTCTCAGTTCCTATGCTTCCTGGCTGATGTTTTGGTCACTTTAGAATGCTGGCGGTGCTTTCACTCTAGTGGTAGCATGAGACGGAGTCTACAACCCACACAAGTGGCTCAGGTAGTGCAGCTCATCCAGGATGGCACATCAATGCGAGCTGTGGCAAGAAGGTTTGCTGTGTCTGTCAGCGTAGTGTCCAGAGCATGGAGGCGCTACCAGGAGACAGGCCAGTACATCAGGAGACGTGGAGGAGGCCGTAGGAGGGCAACAACCCAGCAGCAGGACTGCTACCTCCGCCTTTGTGCAAGGAGGAGCAGGAGGAGCACTGCCAGAGCCCTGCAAAATGACTTCCAGCAGGCCACAAATGTGCATGTGTCTGCTCAAACGGTCAGAAACAGACTCCATGAGGGTGGTATGAGGGCCCGACGTCCACAGGTGGGGGTTGTGCTTACAGCCCAACACCGTGCAGGATGTTTGGCATTTGCCAGAGAACACCAAGATTGGCAAACAAAATTCGCCACTGGCGCCCTGTGCTCTTCACAGATGAAAGCAGGTTCACACTGAGCACGTGACAGACGTGACAGAGTCTGGAGACGCCGTGGAGAACGTTCTGCTGCCTGCAACATCCTCCAGCATGACCGGTTTGGCAGTGGGTCAGTCATGGTGTGGGGTGGCATTTCTTTGGGGGGTCGCACAGCCCTCCATGTGCTCGCCAGAGGTAGCCTGACTGCCATTAGGTACCGAGATGAGATCCTCAGACCCCTTGTGAGACCATATGCTGGTGCGGTTGGCCCTGGGTTCCTCCTAATGCAAGACAATGCTAGACCTCATGTGGCTGGAGTGTGTCAGCAGTTCCTGCAAGAGGAAGGCATTGATGCTATGGACTGGCCCGCCCGTTCCCCAGACCTGAATCCAATTGAGCACATCTGGGACATCATGTCTCGCTCCATCCACCAACGCCACGTTGCACCACAGACTGTCCAGGTCTGGGAGGAGATCCCTCAGGAGACCATCCGTCACCTCATCAGGAGCATGCCCAGGCATTGTAGGGAGGTCATACAGGCACGTGGAGGCCACACACACTACTGAGCCTCATTTTGACTTGTTTTAAGAACATTACATTGTCACGCCCTGCCTCAGGGGACGTTTATTTGTTGAGTCAGGGTGTGTATGTTCCGTGTAAGGTATGTTGTGTGTATGCTACCTTGGACTTCACGTTTCGTTTGTTGTTTTGTCGTGGTGTTTATTCGTTAAATAAACATGTATGCTTATCACGCTGCGCCTTGGTCCTTCTCGTTCGTAAACGATCGTGACAGAAGATCCCACCAAATGAGGACCAAGCAGCGTGTCCAGAAGCAGACAGCCTGGACCTGGGAGGAGATCCTGGACGGGAAGGGATCCTGGCCGGAATGGATCGCCGTCCTTGGGAGGAGACAGTGGAGGCGCGCTATAGAGAGGAGTAGCGGCAACGCAGAAGGTGCCGGCCGAGGAGGAAGCCCGAGAGACAGCCCCAATACATTTTTTTGGGGGGGCTAAAAGGGTGGTTGGTGGAGCCTAGTGTTAGAGCAGAGCCAACTCCCCGTACTCATGCAAGGAAGCGTGTGACTGGGCAGGCTCTGTGTTATGCGGAGCTACGTACTGTGCCGCTAGTGTTCCGGCACAGTCCTGTACGTCCTGTGCTGGCACCACGCACGTGTCGTGCGAAGATGGGCATTCAGCCAGGACGGGGTGTGCCGGCTCAACGCTCGTGGTCTCCAGTACGCCTCCTCGGTCCCGTATATCCTGCGCCGGTGCTACGTACTGTATCGCCAGTACGCGTGCACAGCCTCGTATGTCCTGTGCTAATGCCTCACACATATTGTGTGGAAGTAGGCATCCAGCCAGGACGGGTTGTGTCAGCTTAGTTTGACAAGGTGCTTCCTATTTCCTATTTGCTGTCACCTGGTCTCTGCCAGTGGCTGGAGGGTAGAAATGCTCAGGTCTCGAGCTTTATGGGAGATTGAATACAAAATGGCTGCCTGTCTCTGCGGGGGGTTAGTTGGGGCTGATGTGAGTCCTAGGGGCTAGTCAGACTGATCTTCAGTCTTTGTATTCGTTTGACTCATTTAAAAAAAAATCTGTTTATTATTTACTTTGAGCTTGGTCCAGCATCTTGTTGTTGTTGGCTCCTAGAGCCTGACAATAAAAACCCTGCTCTGGATCTTCCTTCCTTCCTCTCCTTGCTCTCCAACTACCAGCCACCCTTACACACACGCTACTTATTTAATTCTCTGATAACTCTGAAAGCTGACAGTCTGTGAAGAAATGTGGGGATTTTAGAGGATGGGGACTCCGTATCATAATAAATAAATACAGCTGGGGAAATTGAGTTATATAAATAACATCATGATCTTTAAAGTTAGAAAAATAAATTTGGGGACTCATGATAATATTATAATTATAGAACCTTATCTAATTTATTTATATTTCAACTATCATTATTTGCTCCCTGAAACTTTTATTCAATGAGGAAGTCTTTAAGTTTCTAATTTCATGGTTCAGAAATCGTAGAGAAGGAAATTGGGTTCCTGTAATATTATTTTGAAGGGCTCAAAATAGAATTTCATTATGGAATTATCTTTTACTTGGACATAATTATATAAACCAACATCTTCTTCTCAAGTAATTGTTTAGATTTTTTCTCCAGCACCAGATGAATCTTGAGAAAGGAAAAAGAATTCACAATAATTACACACCAGAGAACACTCTCAAATAAAACACATAAAAATGAAAAGTACTTATTTGAGACCGTTTTTGATCAAGGCTTCAATTTTAGCATCATATACTATTGTTAAAGATACAAGATCTCACCAGCTCCTCGTGTGTTGGTGTCAGACAGGAAGAGATTAAATAATTCAATGTGTATCAAAAGGCATAAGGCATGTGTCATGTGACAGTCATAACGACATGCTATCCTCCCTGTGTATGTTCCACGCAAACAGCTCATATTATGCACCAAACCACACTAACCCATTATACAGTATATACCACTGTCTTCCAGTGTCTCTGTCATGCATTATTCACTGGCTGTTACCAAGAGAGGACCCAGGAGAGGAGGGTAATATGTATTCACTGGCTGTTACCAAGAGAGGACCCAGGAGAGGAAGGTAATATGTGCAATAGTCATGTAGCTGGAGTGTTGCTCCACAGCCAGACTTATCAAGAGTATATCTGTGGTATAATAACACACTGGTCGTAATGCCTAAGTCAGGGAGGTTATACATTGGGTAAATGTTCTTAATGTGTTACATGCCTGGGCGGATCTGAAGGACGCTCTTCACGGGCTGTGTGGGTGTTGAGATGGAGGTAGGATGAAGTCAGGGTGCAAATCAGATCTCAGAACTAGCCTATCATAATTTAGCTGCTTTTACTCATCTTTGTGAAATGCCTGACATGCAACTTTCTATGTCAGCTTCCTGGACGATGGAACAACACATTTTTGGTGGGTGGCCCTTGCATTGTGTTTTTCATTATCACCAGGCAACACAGAACACCGTGATGAGATCAGACAGGTTGGATCTTCCCACCAGGATCCATCTTGATGATCCATCTGGATACCTCAGTGTTCCTCAGAGTAAAGGTACCGTAGCATCGTAGCATCGTAGCGTCGTAGCATCGTAGCGTCGTAACATCGTAGCATCGTAGCATCGTAGCGTAGCTTCGCCCCAGAGGTCTTTGTGCTCCTCTTAACATGGCGTAGATCAATCTACAGCCGGCTCCCAGAGCAGAGCTGAGCAGGGTCCCACGGGGACACAGAGTCCTACATCTGGTACAGCTAGCAGCCCTGTAGAGAGGGAGAGAGAGAGAGAGAGAGAGAGAGAGAGAGAGAGAGAGAGAGAGAGAGAGAGAGAGAGAGAGAGAGAGAGAGAGAGAGAGAGGGAGGGAGTAGGAGAGGCTGAGGGATTAAGTCTTTATTCCAGGATAAGGACCTGTCTGAGAGAGGCTTTCCTCTTCTCCTCTTCACCTCTTCTCCTCTTCTCCTCTTCTCCTCTTCTCCTCTTCTCCTCTTCTCCTCTTCTCCTCTTCTCCTCCCCCTTTCCTTTGTGTTCTCCTCCCTCACTGTAATCCAACATGACACAGTTACAGATGGTCTGTCAACACCGTAGCCCCTCCCCTCACCACCTCCCATCTCCTTCCCACCCCACTCCTCCCCTCTCCACCTCCCATCTCCTTCCCACCCCTCCACTCACCACCTCCCATCTCCTTCCCACCCCTCCCCTCACCACCTCCCATCTCCTTCCCACCCCACTCCTCCCCTCACCACCTCCCATCTCCTTCCACCCCACCCCACCCCTCCCCTCACCACCTCCCATCTCTCTATATTCTGTTCCCCTGTGTGATTATGAAGACCTCTATATTCTGTTCCCCTGAGTGATTATGAAGACCTCTGTATTCTGTTCCCCTGTGTGATTATGAAGTCCTCTATGTTCGGTTCCCCTGTGTGATTATGAAGACCTCTATGTTCTGTTCCCCTGAGTGATTATGAAGACCTCTATATTCTGTTCCCCTGAGTGATTATGAAGACCTCTGTATTCTGTTCCCCTGTGTGATTATGAAGTCCTCTATGTTCTGTTCCCCTGAGTGATTATGAAGACCTTTATGTTCTGTTCCCCCTCTACAAGGAAGACACCAGATTAGATCTAGTGATATATCATTATTAACATCTACAAGGAAGACACTAGATTAGATCTAGTGATATATCATTATTAACATCTACAAGGAAGACACTAGATTAGATCTAGTGATATATCATTATTAACATCTACAAGGAAGACACTAGATTAGATCTAGTGATATGTCATTATTGACATCTACAAGAAAGACACTGGATTATATCTAGTGATATATCATTATTAACATCTACTAGGAAGACACCAGATTTGATCTAGTGATATATCATTATAGACATCTACAATGAATACACTAGATTAGATCTAGATTAGGTCAACCAGGCAGTATGACATCGTAACGAGAGGCGCTGTCTGCTCGGAGGCCTTGTTGTCGAACCAGGCAGTATGACATCATAGTGAGAGGTGCTGTCTCCTCGGAGGCCTTGTTGTCGACGAGGCAGTATGACATCGTAGCGAGAGGCGCTGTCTGCTCGGAGGCCTTGTTGTCGAACCAGGCAGTATGACATCATAGTGAGAGGTGCTGTCTCCTCGGAGGCCTTGTTGTCGACGAGGCAGTATGACATCGTAGCGAGAGGCGCTGTCTGCTCGGAGGCCTTGTTGTCGAACCAGGCAGTATGACATCATAGTGAGAGGTGCTGTCTCCTCGGAGGCCTTGTTGTCGACGAGGCAGTATGACATCGTAGCGAGAGGCGCTGTCTGCTCGGAGGCCTTGTTGTCGAACGAGGCAGTATGACATCGTAGCGAGAGGCGCTGTCTGCTCGGAGGCCTTGTTGTCGAACGAGGCAGTATGACATCGTAGCGAGGGGTGCTGTCTGCTCTGAGGCCTTGTTGTCAAACCAGGGAGTATCTGTCTGCACTGTGAAAGGCTTTTCAAAGTCTACACGACAGGATCATTGCAAAGAGTCTCTTTCATGTCAATGAAGGCTTTCTCGTGTTTATCCTCCTACACAACTTTTTTGGATCCAGACTTCAGATCAGTTAAAGGGGCAAGAATTGCCAAACAGTTGGGGATAAATCTTCTGTACCACCCCACGAGTCCATTGAAGGCCTTGACTTGTGACTGGGTCCTGCCGGTGTCTAGTAGGGCTGCAACCGGGATACCATTAACTGTGACTGTGGCTACTTGCATCCTACCCATGATGCCCTTGACTTCCCCCTCGGGTCTAGCAGGTATGGGTGCACAACATAGACTAGCACCCCCTTTGGCTTTGAGTACTGGGCATTCTGGCTTAATGTGTCCTTCCTGTCCACAAAAGAAAGAAACAGGCCTATTTCTCTCTGCTCTGCCTGCAAGACACTCAGAATGTCTGGTTCTGAAAGTTCTGACATGATCTGCACCTCTACTGACATTAAGACAACTTCCCCCAGCAAACCCAACAGACTTCCCCCTGGACATGGGTGGCTTTGGTCTCTTATAGCAGTAGTTCTTCGGGCCCCGGCTAGCAGAGATGAAGGACTCCGCTAACTCAGCAGTGCTAGCAGAGATGAAGGACTCCACTAGCTCAGCAGAGATGAAGGACTCCACTAGCTCAGCAGAGATGAAGGACTCCACTAGCTCAGCAGAGATGAAGGACTCCACTAGCTCAGCAGAGATGAAGGACTCCACTAGCTCAGCAGAGATGAAGGACTCCACTAGCTCAGCAGGGCTAGCAGAGATGAAGGACTCCACTAACTCAGCAGTGCTAGCAGAGATGAAGGACTCCACTAGCTCAGCAGGGCTAGCAGAGATGAAGGACTCCACTAGCTCAGCAGGGCTAGCAGAGATGAAGGACTCCACTAGCTCAGCAGAGATGAAGGACTCCACTAGCTCAGCAGAGATGAAGGACTCCACTAGCTCAGCAGAGATGAAGGACTCCACTAGCTCAGCAGAGATGAAGGACTCCACTAGCTCAGCAGAGATGAAGGACTCCACTAGCTCAGCAGAGATGAAGGACTCCACTAGCTCAGCAGAGATGAAGGACTCCACTAACTCAGCAGTGCTAGCAGAGATGAAGGACTCCACTAGCTCAGCAGAGATGAAGGACTCCACCAGCTCAGCAGAGATGAAGGACTCCACTAGCTCAGCAGAGATGAAGGACTCCACTAGCTCAGCAGGGCTAGCAGAGATGAAGGACTCCACTAGCTCAGCAGAGATGAAGGACTCCACTAGCTCAGCAGAGATGAAGGACTCCACTAGCTCAGCAGAGATGAAAGACTCCACTAGCTCAGCAGAGATGAAGGACTCCACTAGCTCAGCAGGGCTAGCAGAGATGAAGGACTCCACTAACTCAGCAGTGCTAGCAGAGATGAAGGACTCCACTAGCTCAGCAGAGATGAAGGACTCCACTAGCTCAGCAGAGATGAAGGACTCCACTAGCTCAGCAGAGATGAAGGACTCCACTAGCTCAGCAGAGATGAAGGCTTCTCCACTAGCTCAGCAGGGCTAGCAGAGATGAAGGACTCCACTAGCTCAGCAGAGATGAATGACTCCACTAGCTCAGCAGGGCTAGCAGAGATGAAGGACTCCACTAGCTCAGCAGAGATGAAGGACTCCACTAGCTCAGCAGAGATGAAGGACTCCACTAGCTCAGCAGAGATGAAGGACTCCACTAGCTCAGCAGAGATGAAGGACTCCACTAGCTCAGCAGAGATGAAGGACTCCACTAGCTCAGCAGGGCTAGCAGAGATGAAGAACTCCACTAGCTCAGCAGAGATGAAGGACTCCACTAGCTCAGCAGAGATTAAGGACTCCACTAGCTCAGCAGGGCTAGCAGAGATGAAGAACTCCACTAGCTCCGCAGAGATGAAGGACTCCACTAGCTCAGCAGAGATGAAGAACTCCACTAGCTCAGCAGAGATGAAGGACTCCACTAGCTCAGCAGAGATGAAGGACTCCACTAGCTCAGCAGGGCTAGCAGAGATGAAGGACTCCACTAGCTCAGCAGAGATGAAGGACTCCGCTAGCTCAGCAGAGATTAAGGACTCCACTAGCTCAACAGAGATGAAGGACTCCACTAGCTCAGCAGAGATGAAGGACTCCACTAGCTCAGCAGAGATGAAGGACTCCACTAACTCAGCAGATATGAAGGACTCCACTAGCTCAGCAGAGATGAAGGACTCCACTAGCTCAGCAGAGATGAAGGACTCCACTAGCTCAGCAGAGATGAAGGACTCCACATGCTCAGCAGAGATGAAGGACTCCACTAGCTCAGCAGAGATGAAGGACTCCACTAGCTCAGCAGAGATGAAGGACTTCACATGTTCAGCAGAGATGAAGGACTCCACTAGCTCAGCAGAGATGAGGACTCCACTAGCTCAGCAGGGCTAGCAGAGATGAAGGACTCCGCTAACTCAGCAGTGCTAGCAGAGATGAAGGACTCCACTAGCTCAGCAGAGATGAAGGACTCCACTAGCTCAGCAGAGATGAAGGACTCCACTAGCTCAGCAGAGATGAAGGACTCCACTAGCTCAGCAGAGATGAAGGACTCCACTAGCTCAGCAGAGATGAGGACTCCACTAGCTCAGCAGAGATGAAGGACTCCACTAGCTCAGCAGAGATGAAGGACTCCACTAGCTCAGCAGAGATGAAGGACTCCACTAGCTCAGCAGAGATGAAGGACTCCACTAGCTCAGCAGGGCTAGCAGAGATGAAGGACTCCAATAGCTCAGCAGAGATGAAGGACTCCGCTAGCTCAGCAGAGATGAAGGACTCCACTAGCTCAGCAGAGATGAAGGACTCCACTAGCTCAGCAGAGATGAAGGACTCCACTAGCTCAGCAGAGATGAAGGACTCCACTAGCTCAGCAGAGATGAAGGACTCCACTAGCTCAGCAGAGATGAAGGACTCCACTAGCTCAGCAGAGATGAAGACCTCCACTAGCTCAGCAGAGATGAAGGACTCCACTAGCTCAGCACAGATGAAGGACTCCACTAGCTCAGCAGAGATGAAGGACTCCACTAGTCTCAGCAGATGAAGGACTCCACTAGCTCAGCAGAGATGAAGGACTCCACTAGCTCAGCAGAGATGAAGGACTCCACTAGCTCAGCAGAGATGAAGGACTCCACTAACTCAGCAGAGATGAAGGACTCCACTAGCTCAGCAGGGCTAACAAAGATGAAGGACTCCACTAGAGATGAAGGACTCAGCAGCACGCTGGCCAGTCTGTGTTCTTTGACCCACACTCGCACTTCAGGGGACAGGGTGCGGAGGAAATGTTCCATGATCAGTACCTCTCCGACTTGTTCAACTGTGTTGTGGTGGCGTCCCTCCTGGTCCAGCTGGTGGCGTCCAGCTGGTGGCGTCCCTTCTGTATCTCACCAAGCCACGGAGAACAGTATTTATTAAATCACTCTGTACCTCACCAAGCCATGAAGAACAGTACCTCACCAAGCCATGAAGAACAAGTATTTATTAAATCACTCTGTACCTCACCAAGCCATGAAGAACAGTATTATTAAATCACTCTGTTACCTCACCAAGCCACGGAGAACAGTATTTATTAAATCACTCTGTACCTCACCAAGCATATGAAGAACAGTATTTTATTTAAATCACTCTGTACCTCACCAAGCACGGAGAACAGTATTTATTAAATCACTCTGTACCTCACCAAGCCATGAAGAAAACAGTATTTTATTAAATCATCTGTACCTCACCAAGCCACGGAGAACAGTATTTATTAAATCACTCTGTACCTCACCAAGCCATGAAGAACAGTATTTATTAAATCACTCTGTACCTCACCAAGCCACGGAGAACAGTATTTATTAAATCACTCTGTACCTCACCAAGCCATGAAGAACAGTATTTATTAAATCACTCTGTACCTCATAAAGCCACGAAGAACATTATTTATTAAATCACTCTGTACCTCACCAAGCCATGAAGAACAGTATTTATTAAATCACTCTGTACCTCACCAAGCCATGAAGAACAGTATTTATTAAATCACTCTGTACCTCACCAAGCCATGAAGAACAGTATTTATTAAATCACTCTGAACTTCACCAAGCCATGAAGAACAAGTATTAATTAAAACAGTATCAGTGGAGGATGTAAAGTTTAGCTGAATTAGCATATTGTCTTTATTAACCAAGACCTGCATACCTAATGGTGCTAGTGACACATCAGGAAGAAATACTTTCAATTCAGACACTAGAAAACCCACATTAATATTATTATACATTCATTAGTAAATGTTTAGTAAAGTGTAACTGTTCTTCTCTGTTCTTCTCTGTCTGATTGAATGATGACTGACAGGCTTGTTGCCTAGGTTTTAATAGAGATCTGGGTTTTAAACAGTGAGTCTTTGAAATAGACCAGGATTCAGGTCCAGCTGTCTGAGTCTGAAAAGAAGATGACACACTTCCACCTTTGACATTCCTCAGCAGGCTGGCATGAGCCTGTAATTAAGGCCGAGATCAATCAGATCAAGTGTTAACCGACGATAGCAGACACCCGCATAGCCCCAATTGGCACCTCCCAGTGCCAGCAGTGCCATCTATCCAACCCAGGGACTCCAGGAACCGGGCCAAGGCTGTTAGTGCTCTGCCATGTGTTGTCTGTCATCAGCACGCAGCCCACGTGGAGGGAGAGGAGAGGAGAGGCGAGGAGGAGAGGGAGAGGAGAGGAGAGGAAGGATAGGAGAGGAGAGGAGAGGAGGGAGGAGGAGAGGGAGAGGACGAGGGAGAGGAGAGGACGAGGGAGAGGAGAAGGAGATGGAGGGAGAGGATGAGGAGATTGCAGAGGGACGGAGGAGGGGAGCGGAGAGGAGAGGAGAGGAGAGAGGGAGAGGAGAGGAGAGGAGAGGAGAGGAGAGGAGAGGAGGGAGGAGAGGAGAGGAGAGGAGAGGAGAGGAGAGGAGAGGAGAGGAGAGGAGAGGAGAGGAGAGGAGAGGAGAGGAGAGGAGAGGAGGGGAGGGGAGGGGGAGGGGATGAGCTGAGGGGAGAGGAGGGGAGGAGGGGAGGAGAGGAGAGGAGAGGAGAGGAGAGGAGAGGAGAGAAGAGAAGAGAAGAGAGGAGAGGAGAGGAGAGGAGAGGAGAGGAGAGGAGATGAGTGAGGGGAGAGGAGGGGAGAGGGGAGGAGAGGAGAGGAGGGGATGAGCTGAGGGGAGAGGAGGGGAGAGGGGAGGAGAGGAGAGGAGGGGATGAGATGAGGGGAGAGGAGGGGGGAGGGGAGGAGAGGAGCCTGAATGCTCTGTAATATCAATTGACGCTCTTGAAGAATAGTATTTAAATGAGTTAATTATGCCAGTAAAATGATATGTAATTATGTGACTGGAGGGTATATTTACTAAATTAGTCTCATCTATGCTCACTGTGTAAAATGCCGCAAAATGTTGTTCCTTGATGATTAGGTAATTGTGATACCCCCTTTCTGGAGTAAATGAGTCGTTTACAGACTGGAGATCCTCTGGCTCAGACGCTACCTCTTTCTACCTCTGTTTCTGGGTGGCTCAGACCCTGCCTCTTTCTACCTCTGTTTCTGGGTGGCTCAGACCCTACCTCTTTCTACCTCTGTTTCTGGGTGGCTCAGACCCTGCCTCTTTCTACCTCTGTTTCTGGGTGGCTCAGACCCTGCCTCTTTCTACCTCTGTTTCTGGGTGGCTCAGACCCTACCTCTTTCTACCTCTGTTTCTGGGTCCATGTCTGCTTCCTAAACAGTAAATACAGAATAGGTGAAAACGATGTTAGTGCATGTATCACAAGTAGTATGATTCACTGATCACCATGATTATAAAACAGTCCGTCAAACGCTTCTAAAGTTCCATTATACTTGGGGAATAACATGGGAGCTATTCAGAAAAGACGTTAGTCAAGTCAAGCCATCCCATCTAACAGAGGAATGAGATGATGACAATCTGAAACCTTGTCAGAATCATACAGAATGGAAAACAGTGTCCATGCTACAGTACTCTGTGTTGAGGAGAGGTTATCTGTATGTCAACATCTAGTCAACGTCTGCAGGCTGTGGAGCAAGAGACACATCCAGTCAACGTCTGCAGGCTGTGGAGCCTGTCTCTTGCTTTGGGAAAAAGATTGAGAAGCTTATCTATAAGCCTCACCATATTGCTGCTCCTCCATATTGCTGCTCCTCCATATTGCTGCTCCTCCATATTGCTGCTCCTCCATATTGCCGCTCCTCCATATTGCCGCTCCTCCATATTGCCGCTCCTCCATATTGCCGCTCCTCCATATTGCCGCTCCTCCATATTGCCGCCCTGCCCTGCATTCCCCAACAGATCTGATAAACAGTCTGTTGTGTTTTAACTTGTGAAATATATGGCATATTGTCTTGACTGGGCTGAATGAACAGCTAAATAACATGGCTTAATGTTGTGTACTGTATTTAATGAGATTATACACACTGCCAAGTTCACTCTCTGTGAATCGCTCTAGAAAGACACATGGAGTACAGTAGTACCACACTGAACACACCTCCCATAGT